AGCAATCGAAATCAGCCGAAATCAAACCAATCCTCCTGAATCCCTGACGGTGTAGTTCATGTAGGTCAGTCCTACTACAGTTGTTTCTCTGACGGTGTAATCCGCCTGGCGAGCGTTTAAATCAAACACGAACCTATCCTGCATCCGTGTGTGTGCCCTACAGGTGCGGTAGAATTAATGCAATAATGCAACTGAGACAAAAATGCAGTCCCGTTACAGGCTGGGGCGACTCTATGTTACCACGTATTGGACACAGCTACAACGAACGCTGTGACACGGACACAAAACGCATACTACACGTGTTTGCACTTCCGCATAGATAGTAAATCAATCGCACGTGGTTGGCCTACACCTTGGCGTGCACAAGCAAACATCCTGGCACAAAACAGAACAAGACACTGAACGTAACTAGTAGTCTAGGGTACTGGAAACCTTTCTCCAAGGGTCGGAGCGCAGCGACAGGAGGTGATTTCGGGTTGCTGTTTTTCAAAAAGACACAAAGCACATCATCATGAATCCACGCTTCCAACCGCCCTCCTTGGGTTTCATAGCGCAGACAGATAAGTGGCTATTGCACCGAACATATCCCTCCGCTCCCATCTCACCCCCCACCAAACAAACTGCGCGGTGGAGATTGAAACGTCATCCTTCTACGCATTTCGCGCGGAGTTTCCGGGGGGTTTCATCGCGAGCGAAGCGCGGTGTAAACCCACGCCATGCGAACCAAAATGTACAGATTGAGGGTCTTCGCACGCAGGGTGCAGCCGCACGAGAACCGGGTCAGAGAAGCGACTTAACGCGGTGAAATAATCCCCGTCCAAGAAGATGAAACAACAACAACAACAACAACAACAACAACAACAACACGGCCGCAAAACACCAACACCAGGCTTTCCCACCATCAAGTACCAAAACAGCAACCATCACCGGTGAAGACATTCACAGACACACCCACCCGCCGGCCGAAGAAGCACGTCATGGCCACGCGGTCGGGGCCGAGATAAACGAAGCGCAAGACTCCCTCGCACAGCACGATTTCCTCGTGAGATTAAAAACCAAGTAATGTTCTTATCCACGCGTTGACACGTGCTTCTTTGGTCAGCTGTCCCTTTTTCGCAAAGAGGGGACAGCCGAAATGAAGTTTGCATAAGGAGTCGCCTCAAGGATCCACTCACTACCATGGCAACAACTACTGGCGCGAAGATCAACCACACGCTAGTGGCGCCCAAGACCAACCTCACGCCGTTCTAGTGATGCCGAAGGTCTACCACACAGACGCCGATGTTGTCCGTGCTGCCCCTGACATAAGCCTCGTGGGTGAGAGCCGTAGCCGCCACCTGGAACGTCTGCCCGGACACGTACGACCCATACCCGCGGGGCACCCCCCTGCCGCCGTCCCATCGTCGCGGCTGTCCGTCTTGCCCTGGCCGCGCTCCCTCGCCCACCACCGCGGCGTCTACAACGGCGGCGGCTCCCTGGGGGGCGGGGGGAGCGGGGGAGGGGGGGGCGTGGGATGGGTGGAACGTCGACGGAGAGGAGCCGAGGATGACCTCCTTGACCATGTCCACCGCCTCCTGGCTGGAGACCACGTCCCACAGGCCGTCGGAGGCCAGGACCAAGAAGGCGGTGTTCTTGCCGCCGCCGCTGCCGCCACTGCCGCTGCCACTGCCGCCGCTACCGCCGCCGCCACCGCCACCGCCACCGCCACCGCCAACGGCGTCGTAGTGGTCGTCGTCGTTGTCGTTGTCGTTGTCGTTCCCGTGGGACACAAAGAACACGTCGGGCTCGGAGGATAGGACGCCGTGCCGACTGAGCCGCCGGTTTCCGAGCGTCCTCGTGACCGCCAGCTCGCCGTTGACCCGCAGCACCCCCCGGTGCTCCACGGAGCCCCCGTTCGCCTCCACGCGCGCGCGCTCGCTGGCGCTGTAGGGCGTGTGGTCTGTCCAGCAGTCCGCACGCGACGACGACGACGGGGTACGAGGCGGAACGAAAGTGTGGCGTGCTGCCGTCGTGCTTGGTAACACGTTGAACTAACGGCAAACGTTAACTTGAGGAGAACAAGGCATCGCGCGGAGGCCAAGGAGATGGTACGAATGCAAGGCAGACAAATTCTAATATGGGACCGCTGTGAGTGTCATGCCAACTCCGTTCCATTCTACCCCCACCCTTCGCGCTTGGTGATGTGAGAGCCTGGCCCGGTGAGAACCCCCGGCGTGCTCCGTCCCGGCTTTGTAGGGATGCGAGGTCAATGGTCTAACGACCACGGCATGCACGACCATGA